TATGTCCCCTTTAAATAAACAACAATAGCTTCATTACTGTGATTAAATATCTCATGTTAAAGTTTTATTACAGTGCAAGATTAGGTTAACACAAGCTGTGTTGAGTGATGCAGGATTCAGCTTGCATCTAAAGTACACAGACTTTGTTCTCCTGCCAGATATAAAAGTGAGAAGTTATTAGAGGAAGTGAATTGACAAGTTATCCAATCAGCAGTAACTGTCAGGTCTTTGGTCACTAATTAAATGCCAGTAAATAACACTTCAAATGTCAATCTGATTGACTTTGACGCTCCAGCCTCACTTTTTTTTCATGGCACATGAATAATTATTCTAAGACAAACATTCATTGTTCTTTAACTAAATATAAGCTAAATAAAGCTGAAGATTTGATTCTGTTTTCCATCATTTGGTATTTTGTATTATTAATATAATTTACCTTCAGTCAATTAGAAAGTGAATGCAGGAGTTTCAGTCTTGCGGTGAATCAGTCCATTTGTTTTCATTTAAAAGCGCCAAGTGTTTATTTGAACTCTGCTTTGAAAGGCAAATGTGATGAGTCAGCAGGAGTTCGGAGCCCAAAGATTTCAGCAAGTCACTAAACTTGGCAGATGTGTCACCTCCAAGAGTGAGTGAAAAATATATATAACAAGTTCTCTTGTTCTCTGGCCCACTAATCCATCATCCCCCACTGTTGTCTCCCTCCACTCTCATTTATTCATCCCCAATCAGCTCGCTGTGTTTCCTCTCTGTGATGTCTGCAGTCGGATACGGAGTTCTGGGACAAGATGCAGGCGGAGTGGGAAGAGCTGGCTCGACGAAACTGGCTGACTGAAAACGAGCAGGCGCAGATTCCGTCGTCTGTATCGCCACATGAAAAGGTCACTGCTGTTTATCGGTTAACATCCAGCATGGGGCATTTAAATAGGCTGGATGACACTGATGTGGAGAACTAACACCCTGTGCAGTGTAAACAATGCTTAGATATACAATGTATAATTAACAATAAATTATTTTATTCAGTCAGGGACAAATAAGGCATTTACTGTCTCCTGTTTTAAAATAACTTTTTGATTTGTTGGAAGTGAGGCTGTATGATGTCCCCATGGTTTGCTCATTTAAATAACTGAAGCAGCTCTGTCAGGTTCTGTAGCTACAAGACTCCTTTGACAAAAGTAGTCATTTTACCTCAGAACACAAGAGCTGCTGCTTCAGCTTGTAATTTTTATGAGTTTCTGCGTGAGCTCCATGTTTTATCGCTGAAATTTGGGTCCAAATCAACACTGGAAGGAACAAAATCGAGGCAAAACTGACAACTTTTTGTGCTCTGAAAGGTCAAAGAGCTTCCCTTTGTCAGTTTACTTTGGGTACATTTTTGTGAAAGTGATACAGCATTTTATTTTATTTATTTATTTTTTCCCATATTAGAACTGGCTCCTGCATGAGTCCAGCAGCCAGATGCCAGTCTGCGGCTCTTTTTTCCAAGCTGCTTTGCGTTCACATCAAAACATTTCAGTTTAAGATGATCTAAATCACGGGTGGTCGCTGAGGCAAAAACCCGGGCGTGGGAGGAGTTTGGAGAGGYCATGKAGAAAGACTTCCGCACGGCTTCAAGGCGATTCTGGTCCACCATCCGGCGTCT